GGCTTTCGCACCAGACCATCCCCGCTCTTTAAATTAAACATCCCTTTTTGGGGTGGATCTGACATCTGGCATCTTGGCTTGCCAACGGCGGGTTTATTTTCGCCAACCTTCCCCCCGCCCTGCCCCCTTCAGAGACACTAAAATGTGTGAGAAAGTGCAAATCCTAAATTAGCTCAATATTCGCATGTTCCTTAATTATTGATGAAACTCTCGTCTCCCAAGGGCAGTTTTTGCCGAGACAGCTGGGGGATCCCAGCGGAAAAGCCGTCTCTCAGCGGTGCAGCTCCCAGCTGCTTTGCCACCGAGACAGAAGAACCAGCCCTGCCCATCGTCTGGATTGCCCAGGTCCACCAGGCCTTCCCCAGGGACCGCTACTGGGACCATTTCTTTGCTAGGAGGAGAAACCAGAGCTTTCCCATTATACAGCCTGCAGCAAAAAATGTAGATGAAAAAAAAAAAAAAAAGAAAAAGCTAAAATTTTCAGCACACAACACTCACGGTGAGGAATATTTCTGCTCTTAATATTTTTAGAATGCAGCTTTAACATTTCCAAAATAAATACATTTTAGTCCCTTCAGGATAAAAGGAACTAGCAGAATTTCCCTCTCACGCTTTAAAATTTATAAAAATGGATTAAGAGAAGAGAAAGGGTAACTTAGAGCGACTCAGAAGCTGAATTTAAGTTTTGACTTGCTGAGGAATCGAGCTTCAATTTGGCTTTGGAACGATCTTCCCATTTCTGCCACTACAAAAAGTTTATCTTTTTACCACATTCACCAGTTCCACATCACTAAAAGTTTGCTTCTCCTTGCACGGAGCAGGTACAGAGCCAACCACCTCATTACTGTCCCAAGTACTCTGAGCTCTGATCCCTCCTGGGGGTTCCTCGGCCGCCAACACCGTGCGGATGAGATTTACCACCTCGAAACGAGGGGGAATGAAGCGAAGGACTGCTTCAGCCGCTGGCCATCCTCCCGCTGATCGAGGACACAGTATTCGAAGGTCGTTTTTTTAAGACAAGCCTGATGCTAGGCAGCGTTTCCAATAGGCTTTGTGTGGTTTCCCTCTCTTCTTGGAGCTTCCTTCCTCCTCTGAGCGCCGGCAGGTCGGGAGGTTTCGTGACGTGAACTGCGCCTTTTGAAAGCGGGTGCTTCAAGAACTTCAATCTTGTGTGTTTAAACAGGAGAAAATTGGTTAATTACATTGGTGCATTCAGCTAATTTTCTTTGCCAAGACTTGATTCTTTGAAAGAAGTCAGCAGTGGAACCGCCTCTTGCTTAAAGGAAAAACGGCATTAATTGGACACGA